ATTTTTTTTCTAAACTTCTCTTTTCTTATTTTAAAATTTAAATTTTAAATTTTCAATGTGAAAATTTGAACTTTTAATTATCGGACATCTCTTAAAATATAAAAATTTTGATCTACTAAAATCAATAAAAAATGTTTAGAGACTTTGTTTGACTATGTTTCTTACAAATATTTTTTTATGTAGTATCTTATTTAAAAATATAAATTTATAATTTATAATTGATATTTTATATATTTTTCAAATAATAAAATAAAATAACTTACAACTAATGTACGAACAAAACTAGAGTTATCTAGTGATAATTTTTGTAGAAAATTTAATAAATATTTATTTTAGGAAATTAGAGGGAAAAAAAAATCGAATAGCGTCTTAACACAATTGATAGAGCACATAACTTTTAACCATATGGTTGTGAATTTGATTCTCACAAACAACATCTTACTTTGAGCTTAAACTTCATAACAACATTTTTAATGTTCCTTTATTTGTTTTTTACTAGGTCAAAAAACTTAGTATTTCCTTTATTTTTTACACATATTTTTAAGAATTTTTTAAAATAATAATTGAAAAGTTTTTTTTGTACATATTACTCATTGAGTAATTTTATTTGATAAATAAATGAATTTTTTTTATATAATATGTATAAAAATATCACTTCAAATTACTAAAAAATAAAATAAAAAATTAAAGACTTATATTTAAAGGCAGGGTGAGTAAAAGATAGATGACAACAGTTTTGAAAAATTCAATCCTCATAATATTAACAACAGAAGAAAACAAGTAAATAAGGAGCATAAAAAATGACAAAAAGACACTATTACTAGAAGAAAAGAAAAGATATTATTGATGGGGTCGACTACAGTTTTTAACTTTTAATTTCAGATTACTCGTAAAAAATTTAAAAAATATATATAATGTATCTTAAACATAAAAATGACGGTTATTTAATTTATCTGAAAATTTTAGTAAAAAAGGGTAGTATGGAATGACTACTACATAATTTAATTACCAGAAAAAATAGTACCAGTACATCTCACACACATTGGAACTCGGAGAATATCAAATCCAAATGTCCATTAGTGTCAATACCTGCTTTGATTGTGTTCCTCAGGAATTTCAAGTAATAAATTTTGGTCTTTTCGGCT